TAACACCAATTTCATGTTACCTACGAAAAAAGTTAAACCAAATTAAACTTTAATGGGCAGCGTTCATAGCCTTGATATAGTCTCGCCACCTTTTTGTTTCAGTTCGCCAATTTTAATTACATTAATAATGCCGGTCATGATGAATTTTAATATTTCCTGAGACATTTTACGTGAGATATTACTTAGCCTAGATTAATAAATGAACAAAGATAATTAAAGACAATTCTTTATATAGTAAAATTGCTTAATTGCTCTATTCTGCTGGCTTTTAAACATTAACACTCGTATCGACAAATGTTTTTTAACGTAGGCCTTTTACATACGAGTACATGTGAAAGCTGTTGCTAATCAGTGTAGATATTCTTATTATTCACTGAAAAACCCTACAAGTAAGGACATAACACAATTATTACGGCTACTCTTTTAATATGCGACATTCAATCATATATCCTGCGTGCCAAATCTATACCAATTTTCAAATCCTTAGTTATTGTGATAAACACTATATAATATCATCACTATCTTTGCCAGGTGTATTGTCATTATGAATTTTATTTAAGTATAATTTTTTCTGTTTTGTTCTGTTGTTCAATTTGTTCTGAACCTAGAACAGATTGCATTTAGCGATAACTTCGTCAATTCTGCGACTTATTTAAGACGCATATTTTTCTTTATTTTGTAATTGGTTTTTAATGTATATGTGTGAAATAATATTTATTTAATATATATTTGAAAATCCGTTATATACAAGCTTACAGTATTGCAAACAGTTTACTGAAATTATTAATTACTATTGCTTTTGTTCATGATTGAATTTTAAGTGTTTTCTGAACAATGCTTTTGTTGAAGGGAAGAGATGCCGTTTTAACTTTTTTTCTTAAAATGTTTAAGTCGTATAAAAACAAATTATATGTATAAATATAAATAATAATTTTGTGTTAATACCTCTAACTTTCATTAGGTACATAACATTAAGTCCTTGAATGTACATACATACCCCAGAAACAAAACAAAACTTTATTTAGGTAATTTACGTTTATAAAGAGGCCCATCAATGTATTGCTAAATTATAAGTTCTTTCATCGAATAGATTTAGTGGAAATCGCCTGTGAAAATGGGTGTACGGACTCCGAAGCGGTCCCATAAGTTTTCCGTTTTGCTAATATTTATACTAAAACAGTACGCAACGCAACCCAGGGTGCTGTGTTGAAATTACCCCGTTTACCATTTCATTAGATATTTGAAGAATAATACTTTGAATAAAGTGTGAAAAATATTTATTTTTACTGCCAAAAACATAAACTAAAAAGCGAAAATATGTGGCCTTAGTTGTGAATTACCCAATCTATTAAAATAAAATTTATTTTAATAGATACTGTTTCCTTAAAGCTATTTGTTGGTAGTTACTATTCGTTATGTACCTAATTTAACCGTGAAGTGGCGGTGTAAGACTATTCACTACCTCGTATCGTACCGAAGGTGTTATAATAGGCGACCTCTATTCTATAATCACTTGCCTTGCCCCCGAGGCAATTAAAATCTATGATCTATTTCTGTTTCTGTTTATACTATACCAAACGAAATCTTTGCGCAATAGATTTTTATTATATATCCTATATGCACGTGAAATGCATCTTGCATAACGTTCGTGGCTCAGTTTTCACCCGTTGAATTTTTAGGTACCTACCGCCACATTTCTAACTCTATAGTCGTCTTATACCCCTCATAAATCAAGTTAAGAAAGTAAAGTGTGATTCAAGTCCGAGTGTGAGGGTCGGAACACTGTAACACATGGTATCCTAGTACAGGTTCCATTCTCTCACAATGGTCAATCTTGTAATAATTGTATCACAGAATTAAGACAATAATCGAAGCATGTTCCTGTTTTATGTGCCATTGTGATTGGAAATAAACGATTATTATTATTATTATGGTTTGGGATATCTATATAGTTTTCTCATCTCATTATAAACGAAAATGAAAAGATAAGTATACATAAATATCAATAAAATACATTAATAAATAAAAGCCCAACCAGATGGAAGCCCTTGGCAGGGGACACCAAACAGCCAAAGGTTAGGGGGAAAGGGAAAGGAACCGGCAGACGAAGCGGGCGGCATCGAGGAGCATCGCCTTCTGCATTTGAGCCCGGAGCGATCCGTCACGGAGTCCCAGTCGCCTCAGATGATCCGCGAGGTTAACTGGGATTATACCCTTCGCAGAGACAACTACAGGAACAATTTCGGTCGACAGACCACCCCACGTGTCGGTAACCTCGTGAGCCAGGTCCAGGTATTTAGTTTTAATATCTGATTCGGCTTTCACTAGATTCTCGTCATATGGAATGGTAATGTTGACCAAAAATATCCTTAACTGTGCCCGGTCCATCAGCACAATATCAGGCTTATTCGCAAGAATAGTCCTGTCCGTGATGATGGTCCGGTCCCATTAGAGCCTGGCGCGATCATTTTCGAGCACGGCTTCCGGCAAAGTACTTATAATAAGGCAGTTTTCGATCCACGAGACCGTATTTCAGAGCGAGATCCTGGTGTAGAATCCTAATTACTAGGTTGTGCCAGTGCAAGTACTCAGAGTTAGAAAGCGCCGAACAACCGGAGACGACATGCTTAAGTGACTCACCGGAATGGCGACACGCTCGACAGACGTCGACGGTGCCATCCTTTAGGATGTATCTTCGATAGTTGTTGGTCTTAATAACCCGACCCTGTATTGCACATACAAAACCCTCGGTTTCCCCGAAGAGGTCACCGAAACGTAGCCAGTAGAGGGAGGCGATTGTATCTATGAAGGGCTCATGTAGAGCCCTGTAGTACCTTCCGTGATGCTCCTTCTTCCATACGGTCTCCCGGTTGGAAATGCTATGTACTGTTGAGTCCTGGCATTGCTCGTTGGCTAAGGAATACTAAGGAAGAGGGGTAAGCCCTTTATCCCTAGAAATGATGTCATTATAGAATAGATTATTCCGATCTCGCCAGGAAATAATGACGGAGGCTACACACTTCGCGATTATGCATGGTGAGCGCGCTCAGAAAGCCAGGCCCATCATGCTTTCGCGGCAAGTACAGCCTCATTACCGACGATCTCAGATGATGCATCCTATGGGACGTCATGGTAGTGCGGACTTTTCTATCCAGGGCGTTAAGTTCAGTCTAAGTCGACCTGAGTATGCTAAAGGTATACATGAGTAAAGTCATGACCCAACCGTTACATGCTTGTGTCTTATTCACATCGGAAAAAAGGCTGTTAAGCACTTTGGTAAAGCGTACATAAAACACGTCGCAAACTGACTGTTACATACCAACCTCATCGATACCGATGTTCTGTGATATACCCAGGTATCGGTATGTTTCAGCCGAGGAAAGGGTCCTTAAGTTGACGGGCTTAGATAAGTCTATCCCCTCAAAGTTAGCAACCCTTTCTTTTTCAACAGGTACGCACACTTATCCATTTCTAATAAATTTGCTAAATTCACAAGTGATGTTTATCAATTCCATAACATGGGAGCGACTGGAGGCGAATAACTTGAGGTCATCCATATAGAAAAGGTGGGTCATTTTTGTGCCTCCTTTCTGAAGCTGGAATCCTCTCCCAGAGCCCTCCAGTAAAGTACTGAGAGGGTTCAGAGAGAGGCAGAACCAGATTGGACTCAGACAGTCGCCCCTTCTAATCCTTATGCGGCTTTCCGCAGCGTCATCCGCTCACCCAGATGACAAAGGATCGTACCCCACTGCCCAATACACTGCTCGAGGAAGTCTCTAACTGTACAGTTAACCTTGTACAGCTCGAGGACCCTCTTTAACCATGTGTGGAGCACCAAGTCGAACGCCTTTCTGTAGTCTATCCAGGCGGCAAAGAAGTTCCGACGATTGCGTTTCACCACTTTGCTTATAACCGCGTCAATGAAAAGTGGTTCCTTGGTTCCACGACCACCGTACTGACATCCATTTTGAGCGCGTGACATCATCTGATTTAGCTCCAGGTGACTTGTGAATTTCGCGCTCAAAATGGATGTCAGTGTCTTATATGTGGTGGCTAGACACGTCATGGGGCGGTATTTGCTCGGGTCTGTGGTATCCTGACCTTTAGGAACCAAGTGATTGATCCCAGTAATGAAGAGGCTAGGGAGCGACTTCTGGTTGAGAGCCTCTTGAAACTGACGGACGAGCACAGCGTGACACACCACGAACCCCTTTAGTCAGTAATGATGCAGCCTGTCGAGCCCTGGACTTTTCCAGTTTGGGGCCCTACGGATCGCCTCAGCAACGCCTTCCGGCGTTATGGTGACGGGATCCATAGGCGTAACACTCGCACACTGGTTCGCTACAATTTCCATTCAAGGGCCCTTGCTGTGGTTTACGGGCTCTCACCAAAGGCCACGCTAGAATGCGATGTCGGCCTGATCCGGTCCTGGACCTGCTCTACATAACTCTGGTCGCTCCAATGATTTATAGAGCCTCTTCTGATCACTATGGAAGAGACCATTCTGGTTGAACCGCCTTGACCTCTCGGTAAATCATCGAATCCACCTCCCCCAAGCAGCGAGTTTTTGCTTCAGGTCATCTATGCGCTCCGTTAGTTTGTGCGTGATGCTAGTAGCCGGATGCTAGAACAAACTGATATTTGTCCCAGCAAACGTGATTCTAATGGTACGCACAACCCTCGGTCTATTATGACCTGAAGCTTATCAGTCTACCGATAAGGACCCTTAACTTTGCGATACGGTCCTCGATTCTTTATTTCCAGGTTAGGATGACGCTACTTTGTCTAGTATCGCGTCCAGCCATGGGAAGTTTGGCACCAATAATACGGCAAACTGCCACTGCGGCGCCAAAAATAATTGAGTCCGTCTCGCAAAGGTCCCGGCTGGCTTCCAAATAGGTCACCAGCATTGGGTTAAGAGTCCTCACGACAGCCCGATTTCGCTTGCTTAGGGGTGTGCGGGGAGGTCGCGGTCGATTTTCGAGTGAAATGCTGCGCATTTACAAAATCGCCTCTTCCAATATGCTTCTCATTTGCTCTAGTTCGTGGGAGACTATTTCATCGTCGTTCGAATCAACCACAACTGGAAGATCCGTGGCGGCTTCCACGTGTGGATACTGGTCTGTCGCTTGTGGAGTCGCATCCCCAACCATAGCCGATTCATTCGATGTGGGAATAGCCTCATGTCGTAGTCGTTCGAGTTCGGCATCATCAAATATTTTCGAGCGCATGATGTACCAAACTTGGAGTTTTGTTCTGCATAGGCTCCAGCTCAGCAAAAAATCAATGCATCTGATCCCTATACACTATCCTCGCAGTTTATTCCCCTTCCAACCTATAGCATGCCTGCAATGCGTTTTCGTTCATAGTTTTTGTCCAACGCATGCGACGTGAACCACCAGCGGCGGGTGCCACTTGCTGATTCCGAGAAAACCCAGCTGACAAGCCGTCTGGTGGGGATGATGGATGCGGGGGGCTGCTAGGTGATCGTGCAGCTCCTCGCACTCGGCTAGCGGCCCGCATGCTGCCGCATCCAGCGCCAGCTCCAGACGCGCCCCAGCGTACCCCAGGCAGCGGCCCTATGCGCGTTCCTCTTTGTGCCATCATTCATTTTATGGGCGTCAATTAACAAGAGACGCCCAAGCCCGGCACCGTTTCTTGGTTCAGTCATATGCACAAACGAATCTTTGCACCCACAATTTTGCCTAGGCACGGCACTCACACTTCTTGGCAGGGCGCTGACTGAATGCGCTGACGTAGCAGTTTTGTCACATAACTGTTACGTCAGAAGGCGGTGGTGTCGTCACTTCCCTACGCTGATTTTTATTTTATTATTATTATTAAAGTACAGTTACATACTGCGCGCTCCTGGGCGCAGGTCTCCTCTTATTTTCGGGAGGGTTCAGAACAAGAAACGCCGAAGAGACAAACGCGCCAATAATTCACCCTATGGCAGATGGCTACTATAGCCCATGGTCATCTAGAACGAACTTCAAACAAAGAAGGCTACATATGCGTTGTTAGTTCTAACCTCCATCCCCACGACTCTTAATTATGTTGATTGTGGCTCTCTATAAGGGCAAGCCGGACCACAATTCACGGAATAGCCCATATTTCTGTTGACAGATAGTATTAATCAGGTGTCGTGATTTAACATTTAACCTACAAATACCCTATTCTGAAATATTTTGTAAAACATTGCCCAGATTTATGTTCGTTTTAGTCAGGAGCTTCGTTAAACTTTCAGACAAACCCAAAAGTCTACTCTAATTTCTGAAACTGTAACGGTACAGAAAAGGGTTTTCCCGCGGCTTACGTTCGAAACGGTGAATTAATTATTTAAATTGTTTTTATATAATTTTTTAAATGTAAGTTTTTTCACGACATTTTTTTTATCACTGAGCAAGTGATTAGTTAGACCTTAATACTGCTATTAACCTTTTCATTGGTCCGAGGATCAAAATCAAATTGCCGTCTGCGTACTATGAATTTAAATATAAACCCGCTATACTAGAGAAAATACGGCTAGTACCTGTAAATATACCTGTAGATAACTTATTTAAGTAGTTAAAGGCAAATTGATTTGATTTAAAGCCCGGGGAGTATTACAGTAAGTTTTAAACTAAGTATTAATGACAAAATTATATTTTAGTAGGTTGAATAATATTTACTAGGTTGTAAGGACTCCTTTTGGTACCACTTAACTTATTTCTGAAGAGTAAAGAGAGTATAGTATCGGGCGTATTACTATAACTCGTACGAATTAACTTGAGACCTGGGCCGATGACGTAATTGTCAATGTAGGGTGTGCAAAATAATGCGTCGTAATATTTTTTTTATTTGAAATTTTTGAGATATGCATGAGATTATTAATAAAAACAAAATAAAATGTTCTGGCAAGGGGTGAAGTAATAAGTGATATACTGTTGCCATTTTTATATATTTTAAATATTTATTTTTTATAATATATGATATTATTTTTAGTTAACGCTTCAAGGAAGGACAAAGAAATAAACATACACACTTTCTCATTTATAATATTATTAATTTATTTATTACTTTATTGCACTATAAAAAGTGTTACAGATTCGTCAAAACTGTCGAAGTTGTCGAGAAAAATTGTCGAGTTCAATTTTTTTTGAGCTCTGTTTCCTTTTTTTCCTGGAGTTGACAGTTTAAATTCTGGTCTTGCTTGAGGAGTACATGATTCCGATACTACTGTGACATCATCATTTTGGTCTTGAGAAATTGACTGAACTTTTTTCGGAATTTATCGCGTATATTTAACTTTTTTACCCGACGTTTCGAGAGCTTTACAGCACCCATGGTCACGGGAAGGACCGAGATGTTCAACGTCCAGCTGTCATAGTTAACCACGGTTACCATAGATTAAAATTTAACTTTTGTTCCGATCTACACAGTATGAACTTATGGTATCATGGAGTCTTGCAGTTGTATGCTTGGGTTGGGATTTAATTTTATTTATTATAGGATCCCAAGCAGATGGTAGCACCCAGCCATCTTCTCTATTGAAATTAGGATGTTTTTTGATTTCAATAGCCTCGCGAATCATCCTTGGAAGGAATCGGTGTTCTTTAGCGAGGATTTGTGGTCTATCAAATCTGATGTAGTGACGGGGGGCGATCCTGTACATGTTCACAGACTGCAGACTTCCCGGAGCGTCGATTCTTCACATCAGCTATATGTTCTTTGACGCGGGTTTTAATTGATCTTTTAGTTTGTCCTATGTAGGAGAGACCACATTCACTATCAAGCTTGTACACTCCTGCATCTTGCAGAGGAACGTTACACTTGACTGATGGTAAAAAACTGACCAATCTTCTTCGGCGGCTTGAAGTATGTTTTGATGGAAGCGCGCTTCAAGATGTAGCCAATCTTGTCAGTGACTCCTCTAACATATGGCAGTACAGCAGGTACACGCTCGACTGTGGCCGGCTTCACTCGTTCTCTGTGACGTAGGCGCGGGACCCGAAGCTTGTTGTCATGCAAAACTTGCTTGACATGTTGGAGCTCGGCAGCCAGGTGTTTACTGTCACAGATCCCTCGTGCTCTCTGAAACAAAGATTTACCCACGGTAGCTAACTGTGAAGGATGGTGGTGAGAATCACCGTTTAAATATCTATCTGTATGGGTCTTTTTTCTATACACAGTATGGCTCAAGGTGTTACCAGGATTCCGAATTACTAACACATCTAGAAAAGCTAAGAAATTGTTTGCCTCTAACTCCATTGTGAACTGAATTTTAGTATTTATAGAGTTAAGATGGTCTAAAAATGCAGTTACTTTATCTAAAGGTAGAATTGTGAAAGTGTCGTCTACGTACCGCTTGTAGAATCTTGGATTTATGGGAGAAAAAAGCCCTGCTTACTTTAATTTACCTGAGGACCAATCTTTAAAGAGGGCTTGTAGCAACAGGCACATCAAAAGCAACACTACTAAGAATGAAAAACGAGGCGAAAAAAAGTTCATAATGATTTCTTATATTTACGCGAACACTACACATTGAAATAATACTAATTTTTACGGAATTTATCGCGTGTATTTAACTTTTTAATTACCCGACGTTTCGAACGCTTTACAGCACTCATGGTCACGGGCAGGACTGAGATGTTCAACGTCCATATGTCATAGTTAACCGCGGTTACCATAGATTAAAATTTAACTTTTGTCCCGATCTATGCAGTATGAACTTATGGTATCTTGAAGTCTTGCAGTTGTATGCTTGGGTTGGGATTTAATTTTATTTATTATAGGATCCCAAGCAGATGGTAGCACCCAGCCATCTTCTCTATTGAAATTAGGATGTTTTTTGATTTCAATAGCCTCGCGAATCATCCTTGGAAGGAATCGGTGTTCTTTAGCGAGGATCTGCGGTCTATCAAATCTGATGTAGTGACGGGGGCGATCCTGTACGTGTTCACAGACTGCAGACTTCCCGGAGCGTCGATTCTTCACATCAGCTATATGTTCTTTAACGCGGGTTTTTATTGATCTTTTAGTTTGTCCTATGTAGGAGAGACCACATTCACAATCAAGCTTGTACACTCTTGCATCTTGCAGAGGGACATTACACTTGACCGATAGTAAAAACTGACCAATCTTCTTCGGCGGCTTGAAGTATGTTTTGATGGAAGCGCGCTTCAAGATGTAGCCAATCTTGTCAGTGACTCCTCTAACATATGGCAGTACAGCAGGTACACGCTCGACTGTGGCCGGCTTCACTCGTTCACTGTGACGTAGGCGCGGGACTCGAAGCTTGTTGTCATGCAAAACTTGCTTGACATGGTGGAGCTCTGCAGCCAGGTGTTTACTGTCACAGATCCCTCGTGCTCTCTGAAACAAAGATTTACCCACGGTAGCTAACTGTGAAGGATGGTGGTGAGAATCATAGATATTTAAACGGTTTTGCATGACAACAAGCTTCGAGTCCCGCGCCTACGTCACAGTGTACGAGTGAAGCCGGCCACAGTCGAGCGTGTACCTGCTGTACTGCCATATGTTAGAGGAGTCACTGACAAGATTGGCTACATCTTGAAGCGCGCTCCCATCAAAACATACTTCAAGCCGCTGAAGAAGATTGGTCAGTTTTTACCATCGGTCAAGTGTAATGTCCCTCTGCAAGATGCATGAGTGTACAAGCTTGATTGTGAATGTGGTCTCTCCTACATAGGACAAACTAAAAGATCAATAAAAACCCGCGTTAAAGAACATATAGCTGATGTGAAGAATCGACGCTCCGGGAAGTCTGCAGTCTGTGAACACGTACAGGATCGCCCCCGTCACTACATCAGATTTGATAGACAGCAGATCCTCGCTAAAGAACACCGATTCCTTCCAAGGATGATTCGCGAGGCTATTGAAATCAAAAAAACATCCTAATTTCAATAGAGAAGATGGCTGGGTGCTACCATCTGCTTGGGATCCTATAATAAATAAAATTAAATCCCAACCCAAGCATACAACTGCAAGACTTCACGATACCATAAGTTCATACTGCATAGATCGGGACAAAAGTTAAATTTTAATCTATGGTACCCGCGGTTAACTATGACATATGGACGTTGAACATCTCAGTCCTGCCCGTGACCATGAGTGCTGTAAAGCGTTCGAAACGTCGGGTAATTAAAAAGTTAAATACACGCGATAAATTCCGTAAAAACTAGTATTATTTCAATGTGTAGTGTTCGCGTAAATATAAGAAATCATTCAA